ACCAAGTGGGATGCAAATACTTTAGGTTTTGCAAGCCACATACTACCTTTGTCACATATTCTTCTTTAACAACTCTTTAATAATCTAAAAACCATTCTTAGATCACAGGCTATACAAAAACATGCATAAAACAATTCTCAATAAATTTTAAAAAAAACTGGAATCATGCAAAATATGTTCAATGCTTTGTAATCCCACAATGGAATTAGATTAGGAATCAACAGGAAAAACTGGGGAAATCCCAAAATATGCGGAAATTGATTAACGTGTTACTAAATAATCCAAGGGTCAAAGTAAGACATCACAAGGGAAATTTAAAAATATTTTGAACTAAGTAAGTATGAAAACAAAACATACCAAAATTATGGGATGCAACTAAAGGAATGGTCTTGAACTCCTACGCTAAAAAAAAAGAAATAACTGAAACCAGTAAGATTTCACCTTAAGAAACTATAAAAAGAAAAGCAAACTAAACATAGAGTAAGCAGAATAAAGAAAATAATAGCAAATGGATTTGGAAATCAATGAAAAAGAGAAAAACTGGTTCTTTCAAAAGATCAACAAAATTAACAATCCTTTATGCGGAGAAAGGGGAACCCTCCTCCACTGTTGGTGGGAATGCAAGCTGGTGCAGCCACTCTGGAAAACTGTATGGAGGTTCCTCAAAAAGTTGAAAATAGAGCTACCATATGATCCAGCAATTGCACTACTGGGTATTTACCCCAAAGATACAAAAGTAGGGATCCGAAGGGCTACGTGCACCCCGATGTTTATAGCAGCAATGTCCACAATAGCCAAACTGTGGAAAGAGCCAAGATGTCCATCGACAGATGAATGGATAAAGAAGAGGTGGTATATATATACAATGGAATATTATGCAGCCATCAAAAGGAATGAGATCTTGCCATTTGCAACGACGTGGATGGAACTGGAGGGTATTATGTTGAGTGAAATAAGTCAAACAGAGAAAGACATGTATCATATGACCTCACTGATATGAGGAATTCTTAATCGCAGGAAACAAACTGAGTGTTGTTGGAGTGGGGGGTGGGGTGGGAGGGATGGGGTGACTGGGTGATGGACACTGGGGAGGGTGTGTGCTCTGATAAGCGCTGTGAATTGTGCAAGACTGTTGAATCTCAGATCTGTACCTCTGAAACAAATAATGCAATATATGTTAAGAAAAAAAAAAAAGAAGAAGAAGAAGAAGGTAGCGGGAGGGGAAGAATGAAGCGGGGGAAATCGGAGGGGTAGACGAACCATGAGAGACGATAGACTCTGAAAAACAAACTGAGGGTTCTAGAGGGGAGGGGGGTGGGAGGATGGGTTAGCCTGGTGGTGGGTATTGAGGAGGGCACATTCTGCATGGAGCACTGGGTGTTGTGCACAAACAATGAATCATGGAACACTTCATCTAAAACTAATGATGTAATGTATGGGGATTAACATAAGAATAAAAAAAAAAAATTAACAATCCTTTAGCTAAACCAACCAAGACACAAAATACCAAAACCGGGAATGAAGACATCACCACTAACCCCTACAGAAATGAGAAATATTATAAAATATACTATGAAAAACTTTATGTCAACAAATTAGACAATTCAGACAAAATGGACAAACTCCTAACAAGACACAAATTACCAAAGCTGACTCAAGAAAAAAACAGAGACTCTGAATAGACCGATCCAACTTAGGAAATTGAATCAGTAATTAAAAATCTCCCAACAGTGAAAAGTCCAAGCCCAAATGCCTTCACTGGTAAATTCTATCAAATATTTTAAGAAGAAATAATACAAATAAGCTCTTCCAAAAATAGGAGGGAACACTTCCCAACTCACTCCATGAGGTCATTATTACCCTGATACCAATGCTAAATAAAACCATCACAACAAAACTACATACCACTATCCCTTCCTCACGTATATACAAGCAAAAATATTCAACAAGATATAAGTAAATCTAATCTAGAAATATAGTAAAAAGAATTATGTACCAAGGCCATGTGGGAATACCCCAGGAATAAAAGCCTGGTTTCACATCAGAAAATAAGTTCATGTAATATACCTTATTAACTAGAAAAAAGAAAAAAATCTCTTCTGATCATCTCAACAGATACAGAAAAAGCTTCTGACAAAATCCAACATCCATTCATGGTAAAAATTCTCAGCAAACTAGGAACAGAACTAATATTTTATGGCTAGACCCTCCAGAACAATGGTGAACAGAAGTAGTGAGAGCAGGCATCCTTCTCTCGTTCCCAATTGTAGGAGAAAAGTAATTCAAATAGTCTTTTACCATTAAGGATGCTGATAGCTATAGGTTTTTCATACATGCCCTCTAATAATGAGAGAGAGAGAAAAAAATTAAAGGCATCCAGATTGGGTAGTGGAAAAAAATGCTGTTTGTTATTGACATGTTCTTGTATTTAGAAGACCCTAAGGAATCCAGATAAACGCACCCACACAAAGAAGCCCTACTAGAATTAATAAATGAATTCAGCAAGGTTGCAGGTTACAAGATTAATATATGAAAATCAATTGTATTTCAATCTATTTAATTAAGAAGAAACCAAATTCTATTCACTTAGGAATAGCAAAGTAAAACAATTTACATTGAATACTGGAAGATCTAAATAAATGGAAAGACATACCACACCTGTGCACTGGAAGATGGCAAACCTCCCCCACTGATTTAGAGATTCAACGTGATCTCTATCAAAATCCAAGGAGGGGATTTTGGGGAGGCAGAAATTAACAAACCGATACTAAAATGATATGCAAATGCAAAGAATGCAGGAGTGCTAAACAACTGTGAAAAAGAACAAAGTTGGAGGAATAACACTTCTCGTTTTCAAAACTTACTATGAAGCTTTAGTAAGTATCTTTAGACTATGAAGTACAGACACACAAATCAATGAACAAATTGAGAGCCCTGTAATAAACTCTTACATTTATTCCACTGATTTCTGAAAAACATGCCAAGGCAATTCAATGGAGAAATGGTAGATGCTCTTTTCAACAAAATAGTGCTAGAACGAAATGGATGTCTACGTACACAAAGACCAATTTAGATCTTTACCATACAGAAAGCTTAACTCAAAATAAATCACAGACCTAAATGTAAAAGCTAAGGCTACAGAATTTCTAGAAGACAAAACAGAAAACTTTCATGACTTCGGGATAGACAAAGATTTCTCAGATCCAACACCAAAAACATAAACAAGGGAAGAAAAACGTGACAAACAAGACTCAGTCAAAATTAAGAACGTTCAGCTCTTTCTGTCATCTTGCAGCCTGTAGAGGCCTGCTGGGAACAGGACTCCTAAAATGACAAATATGTCTAGAAGGCTGTGGTCCAGGGCCATTTTTGCTGGCCCTAAGGGAGGTCTCCAGAATTAGAGGGAGCAGCACACAGCTCTTCTTAAAATCGAAGGTGTTTATGCTTGAAATGAAACTGAACTCTTATCTAGACAAGAGATGGGCTTCTGTGTACAAAGCAAAGAACAATACAGTAACTCCTGGTGGCAAACTGTACAAAACCAGAGTAATCTGGGGGAAAGTAACTCGTGCTCATGGAAACAGTAGCATGGTTTGTGCCAAATTCCCAAGCAACCTTCCTGTTAAGCCATCTGTAACAGAATCTGATACTGCACCCCTCAAGGATTTCAACTTACTGAAGGGAAAATAAAAGTGTACCAAAAAAATGAAAACTTCTGTGCTTCAAAAGACATTAAGAAAATGCAACCACAATCCAGACTGAGAGAAAGTATCTGCAAATCACACATCTAATAAAGGACTTCTACCCAGAATATATAAAGAACTCTTACAACTCAATAGTAAAACAACCCAATTAAAAATGGGCAAAAGATTTAAATATTTCATGAAAAAAGATACATGAAGAGCTAGTAAGTACATGAAAAATGCTCAACAACATTACTCATTATGGAAATGATGGAAAATTCAATGCAAATTAAAACCACAATAAGACACTACCTCATACCCACTAAAATGGGTACATTCAAACAGCCCGACAATAACAAGTATCAAGAGCATGTGGAGACAGGGCGCCTGGTGGCTCAGTCAATTAAGTGTCTGCCTTCAGCTCAGGTCATCATTCCAGGGTCCTAGAGTGGAGCACCTCATTGGGCTCCCTAAGCAGGGAGCCCACTTCTCCCTCTCCCTCTGCTGCTTCCCCTGCTTGTGTGTACTCTCTCTCTCTCTCTTTCTCTCTCAAATAAAATCTTTAAAAAATAAATAAATAAATAAGAGCCATGTGGAGAAACTGGAACCCTCATATGTTAGTGGTAAGAATATAAAACAACACTGCTGCTTTGGAGAAATTTGGCAGTTTTTCTTAAATAGTTAAATTCACCATATTGCCTCAGAAATTCCATTCTTAGGTATTTACCCAAGAAAAATAAAAACAAAACTCACACAAAGAGTTATATGCAAATGTTCCTAACAGTAGTGGTCATACTAGCCAAAAACTAGAAATAATTCAAATGTCCACCAACTGGTGAATGGCTAAAAAAAAATGTGGTACATCCATACAAGGACAACTGTTCAGCAATAAAAAGGAAAAAACTACTGATACATGTTTCAACATGAAAGAACCTTGAAAATATTACACTAAGTGAAAGAAGCCAGATGCAAAAGACTACACATTATGAGATTCTACTTACATGAAATGTTTAGAAAAGGTAAATCTATATATACAGACCAGAGATTAGAGGGTCTCTGGAGCCGAGGACAGGAGCAAGGACAGACTGCAAATACACACAGGGTATCTTTTTAAAGGATTATGAAAGTGTTCTAAAACTAGATTGTGGTGATGGTGCAAAACTTTATACATTTACTAAAAATCATTGAATCATACACTTGTAATGGATAAATGTTATGGTTTATAAATTATACTTCAATAAAGTTGATTTTAAAGAGTGGTAAGAAGTTAAACACAAAATAGCAGCAACAACAAATTATGATGAGAATTTCTCTTACCTCTGCTGGATATACTGGGCATAATCTGAGGAATCATATTATTGCTTGTATCCATTGGCTGGGAATTATCTTGACCCATTTGATCATCTGGTGGCATATAGGCAGGAGGAGGAGTATCAGCTAAGAAGAAGAAAATGAGACAAGTTAAAGTCCCAAAAGAATAGTTAATATCTTCATCCTGCTTAAATGTATTCTAAAAGCATTAAAAAGGTCCTAAGATTACCAGCAGGATTTGTCACTGAACATTACAGACAAAGAAAAATGTAGGATGCTACCTGAGACAAGAGAAAAGTAGAAAAGACAGCATACCCATTAGTTACTGAAAACCTGCTAAAGGTCTGCATGTATTCGGTCCAAACCAGGATAGTAAGATCAGTGCTAAAATTCACTAAAATAGAATTCAACGTCAAGAATTTTGTCTTTATGTACTTAGAATCATATGCTGGGAGAAACTCCAACAACTACAAACCAATCTGAAGGACACAGATTATCCTAGTTTGAGTATATCTCTACAGAGACACTTTTAAATTATCAAGATCATCACACACTATGTTGTTAATTAACATCAGAAATTAAAACTATACTCCTACAAAATGTACCAACATGAACAGCAGCTAGACATCTAATTCTTTTCAACATCCTAAAATGGCTGTCATGCCCTACTAAATGATTAGGTAATTCTTAGGAAATCTGAATGTGAACTAGAAAATCTTTTGAGTTCCAGCACTCCTAGTTAAAAATCTTCGCAAAAGCTACAGCTGTATTTCTTTGTCTCAGTAATTATAAATACTGAATATAATAGTCTTTCACTCCAAGGCTTATACAAGATACACTGTGACACAGAACTGTAATCAGACTGAATCTAGGGTAAAGTATGAAAATTAGTTTTGGAACAAATACCTAACAGCAAGTTAAACAGTTGATACTTAATTCTTCTTGAAAAAATAAAAAAACACATCAACTGATGCAGTAAAGAAACCAGAAACAATATACTGACATATGACTCCACCTATAACAGTAGGCATTCAAATATTTCTTGACAAACTAACAAAATGATGCATCCATGTATGACATGCCATTAATGAAATCTGGGCACTTTATAAAATCTACTTACGAACTTTCTCCAGGCAAACCAGTTCATCAGTTACCTAATTAAAGATAACTGGGGTGCCTTTTAACTTTCCAGTCTATAATGATGTGACAAGCAGTAAAGTTAAAAAAGCACAGACTTTAGAGTCAGAGAAACCTAGGTCGGAAACCTCAGGCAAGGTACTTAAGCTCTTGAAGCAAGTATCAATTTCTTTCTCCACCTGTATAATCAGAGTACTATCTAGCTCACATGGTTGTTCTGAAGATTAAATTTAATGCAGTATCTTCCATCACAGTACCAGTTATACAAAAGGCACTTAATAAATGGTACTCTGTATTATAAATTATATGAAAATATTTAAGTCAAATACAGCTGCTTCTTTTTTTAATGCCTGGAAATACATAATTTAATTGTTTGGGCCAATAAATGATCGAATGATACCTAAATACACTTCCAGTTTTTCAGATTACATACTCCACGTCATAGTCATCAAACACGTAGTCTTTTTCTGGCTTCAGGTTTTTGATAACCTATTAGAATACTCTGCCTTTCACGCATATAGGACTCCCTATGAAACCTTTCACGTTAGCACCATTTGGCTTCACTCTCAAGTTGCAGTGGCAGCCACTTTACATAGCTAGTTGTAAATGTATGTATGTATTTCTGTAAGTTTACCCATTCATTTCACAAATATTTCTTGAGGGTCTACTGTATGTATACCAGGCTCTGATACAGGGACTGGGGATGTAGCAGTTAAAAAAACAGAGGCTAAAATTCCCTTTTTCATGGAGTTTATAGTCAAGATAGGGAGAGGAGGAAAGGAAAGAATATAAATACAAACAATCTGTTGGACTATAATATAGGCTATCAAGAAAAATCAAGCAGTGAGAGAAAGAAGATAGGATGAAAGGAGAAAGTGAATTTTTTTTTCATTAATTCTTAAAGGATCATCTCTCCAAAACTGTTTGCTTTTTTCACAACATTCAATTAATTTCAATCCAAAAAAACAAAAAAAAACAGTTCATCCATTTCTCTTATTCCTTGCCTCTGGCAACTACTAACCTGTTCTCATCATCTATGATCTGGGTTTTCTGTTTTTTGTTTTTGTTTTTGTTTTAGATTTCACATTTAAGAAAACTCCTCTCTTTCCCTGGCTTACTTCATTTAGCTTAATACCTTCAAGGTCCAGCCATGTTGTCACAAATGACAAGATTTCATTCTTTTTTATGGCGGAATATGCCACAATTTCTTTATCCATTCATCCATCGATGGACTAAACTTAGGTTGCTTCTGTGTCCTATTGTAAATCATGCTGCAATGAACCTGGGACTGCACATGTTTTCAAGTTAAGTGTTTTTTCTTCAGATAACTACCAAAAAATGGAATTCCTGGATTATGTGGCACTTTTATTTTTAATTTTTTGAGGAAACTCCATACTGGTTTTTTTAATTTAAATTCAATTATTCAACATATATTATTGGTTCCAGAGGGAGACGTCAGTGATTCATCAGCCTTATAGAATACCCAGCGCTCATTTACATCACGTGCCCTCCTTAATGTCCATCAGCCAGGTACCCCATCCCCTCAAACCCCTCCCCACCAGCAACCCTCAGTTTGGGAAACTCCATATTGTTTTTCACAGTGGCTGTACCAATCTGCATTCCCACCAACCGCATGAGGATTTCCTTTTCTCCACATTGCCAACACTTGTTATTTCTAGTCTTTCTGATAATAGCTACTCTAACAGGTATAAGGTGACAGATAACTCATTGTGGTTTCAATTTGTATTTCCCTGATGATTAATGATGGAGAGCACCTTTTCATGTACCTGTTGGTCATGTGTATGTATGTCCTCTTGGGAAGAAGGCCTATTCAGGTCCTCTGCCCATTTTTTTTTTTAAGGTTTTATTTATTTATTTGACAGAGAGAGACACAGGGAGAGAGAGAACACAAGCAGGGGGAGTGGGAGAGGGAGAAGCAGGCTTCCCGTGGAGCAGGGAGCCCGATGTGGGGCTCGATCCCAGGACCCTGGGATCATGACCTGAGCCGAAGGCAGAAGCTTAATGACTGAGCCACCCAGGCACCCCCTCTGTCCATTTTTTAATTGGAATGTTTGTTTTTGATATTGAGCTGTATGAGTTCTTTATGTATTTTGCATATTACCCCCTCATCAGATATATGATTTTCAAATATTTTCTCCCATTCAGTAGGTTGCCTTTTCATTTTATTAATAGTTTCCTTTGCTGTGCAGAAATTTTTTTGTTTGACATAGTCAAACGTGTTTATTTTTTGCTTCTTTTGCTTTTGGGGTCAATTCAAAAAATCAATGCCAAGACCAATGTCAAGGAGCTGCGTGCCTGTTTTCTTCTAGGAGCTTTATGGCTTTAGGTCTTATGTTCAAGTCTTTAATCCCTTTTGACTTAATTTTTGACTATGGTGTCAGATAGTGGTCCAGCTTCATTCTTTTGCATGTGGCTGTCCAATTTTCCCAACATCATTTATTGATGAGACTCTCCTTTCCCCATTGTATATTCTTAGCACCTTTGTCATAAATTAACTGTCCATCTAACTGTGGGTTTATTTCTGGGCTCTCTCTTCTGCTCCACTGATCTATAGGTCTGTTTTGTTTTTTTTTTTAAAGATTTTATTTATTTGACAGAGAGAGACACTGCGAGAGAGGGAACACAAGCAGGGGGAGTGGGAGAGAGAGAGAAGCAGGCTTCCTGCCTAGCAGGGAACCTGATGTGGGGCTCGATCCCAGCACTCTGGGATCATGACCTGAGCTGAAGGCAGACGCTTAGTGACTAAGGCACCCAGGCGCCCTTATAGGTCTGTTTTAATGCCAATCCCACACTGTTTTAACTACGGTATCTTTCAAACTGTAAGTTAATCATACTTCAATTTTTAAAAATTTGTTTAAAAAATTACAAGCTTTGTAATATAGTTTGAAATCAGGCAGTGCGATGCTTCCAGCTTGATTCTTCTTTCTCAAGATTGCTTTGGCTATTCTTGGGTCTTTTATGGTTGTTTACAAATTTTAGGATTGTTTTTTCTATTGCTGTGGAAAATACAGCTACTTTCATTTTTTTTTTTTTAAAGATTTTATTTATTTATTTATTTGAGAGAGAGAGAGAGAGAGAAACAGCATGAGAGGGGATAGGGTCAGAGGGAGAAGCAGGCTCTCCTCCGAGCCAGGAGCCCGATGTGGGACTCGATCCCAGGACTCCGGGATCATGACCTGAGCCAAAGGCAGTTGCTTAACCAACTGACCCACCCAGGCGCCTCAGCTACTTTCATTTTTAAAAAATATATGGTACACGGCAAAATAAAATCCAAAACTCTTCTGGAAATCAAATAATTACCAAAGCACACAGAGTCAAAAATAGCTACCTCTTAGCATTTAACAATTCACCCAGAGGGCCAGCAATATAAGAACTGCTGATTCTCAAGGGTCATTTCTTTAATCAATAAAATAAATTCTTACCTGGGAGCTGAAATGGACTTCCTGGTCCAGAACTTGCTGGGGAATTGGGATATGTGCTGCTAGCAGGGGAAGGGGGATAAGGGCTATTTGGAGATAAGGGAAAAGGAGTGTTGTTGGGCTGGTGGAAAGAATCTGGAAACGTTGCATTTTGTGGCATGTGTGGCTCGTTGTGGCTCAGGTTTCTAAACTGAACCAAAAGGCTGTGCTGTGGATTGAATTCATTGTGACGAGGCACTAATACTGGAGGTAAGACTGAAAGACAAAAATCAAAAGTCATCTGTCAGCAAAGACTAAAGCAAATATCCCATACATATTAAAGGGCAGATAGAAAGGATTCAGTAAAAACAATTTACTTTCAGGAAGGGCGGCTTTGTAGAACCTTGAATGTATATTTACATAATAACTAAGCCAAAAGCACTCTAAGGATTTAGGCCTGTATTAAGAGCTCTGAAAAACAGAAAATCCAGAAAAGATACCACTCCTGTTCCATAGGAGGGAAGGCATATTTAAAAACAATCATAACACAGAGAATTTAATGTAGTGAGAGTTCAACAGAGGTGAGCACTTCCAGCTAGCAAGAATCAAACAAAACACTATGGAAAAGATTACAACTGACTGGACATTAAAGAACAGGGAATGCCAAGTGCAGGGATACTAGAGAAGGACATGGGGAGACTCCAGGAGGGAGATAAGAAAGCATATTCACAGTTGGCCTAAGCACTGAACTAGGAGCTGATATTAGAGTGTGACGCTGAGGTCAGCTATTAAGATGCCCTGAAAGCCTCTGTGTTTCCAAGTTTGAACATTGCATCTTTCTTAGTTTGAGAGATTTCACATTTTATGTTCTTCAGTCAACTTTTCCCTAGTGAAAATAATAACATTTCCTAGGTAGAAGTCTTCCATTCAAAATCAGTTTTCTAAACATGATCATAATGAAAATATATCAAACAAAGCCTAAATATTTTAAGAGATCTATTTTTTAAAAGGTTAACTTTATTCAAACATTGACTTTCTCTGAAGACCCAAATGACCCAAATGAAATGTCTGACTACCCTTCCCTATAGGAAATCAAAGCCAACATGATTTCTTTAAACTCTTACTGTATCAGTTCATCTCTTTCACAACCTTCCCATATCTGTCAATGTAATTTTACTTCCAAAAATCTCACTTTGACTCTGACATCATTCAGCAGCAACAAAATCAATGTTTATTTTAAGTTAACTAGGTCATACTTCCCTGCTTGAACTAGGGATGTACCTGAGGAATGAGAGGCTCTGTAAGTCAGTATTCGTACTGTTTTTTTGTCTCTTTTCTTTGTACTGAATCAGTGTTGTAATTATGTGGTTAACATCTGATTACAATTGTTTCATTCTACTGTGTATTACCAACTGCTGTTCCCTTTAAAGAATGATGGGACAGCTGCCATTGGAGAGTAAGGCGTGAGACAATAAGAATTTCTATGTTTAGCTGGCTAGCAAGCTGAAAGACTAAATGAAATAACTAATGAGGAATTCAATCCAGCTAAGAATTCCTTTATTTTTTTTTAGAGGCGGAGCTAAAATCACCGACTTCTCTCGTCTATTAACTATACACATCACTTTTTAAAGACTATTTTCCTCCAAAATACATAGTTTAAACAGACAGATGCTATAAGAGGTAACAGAGCAATTTCTAAGCCTCCTCCCATATGCTTCCAGAGACAACAAATTTAAACTCTTAGCCACCTCTTCTAACATTTACTTTGTGCACTGCTAAATAATATGCTTATACTGCTATTATTAATTTGCCAAGACATCATTTGCTGATTTGCTATTGTGGCAAATAAAGTAGCTTTCTTACATCATTCTACCCACTCCCATTCCCATTCCCCTCAATAAAGTTACATAAAAAATGTTGGTTAAATCAACATCTGATGTTTATTACACGTACAAATATTATTCATTCTGAGCCAAGTATGTACTATATTTTTTCTTGAACAGTGCTTTAAGTAAAGCTGATTATTGACTTGTTACTTCATTTGCTTAATCTTAAGTACACACAACTAATAATTCCAGAAGTCTAACAGATTTGTTAAATTCCTATCAATGCTATTTTCCAGATGCCACAAATAAATAATCTATTAACTCATTTTTTCCCCTGGGCCCTTCATTCTTCTATGATCTAGACTGGTAGCTCCTTAAGTCTCCTAGAGATCTCAAGTTCTTAGACTTCCCTTCTCTTCTCTCCTGTTGGAACCCATTTCTTGGACCTCATGTTCTATTAGTTTCCTAAGGGGGGCAAAAGGAAGGGGGCGCGTGGGTGGCTCAGAAGGTTAAGCATCTGCCTTCGACTCGGGTCATGACCCTGGGGTCCTGGGATCGAACCCCGCATCAGGCTCCCTGCTCAGTGGAGAGCCTGCTTCTCCCTCTCCATCTGCCTCTCCCCCTGCTCATTCTTTCTCTCTCAAATAAGAATTTTTAAAAAAAGGGTGAAAGATAAATTTTTAGTCCTTGCATATATGAAAATGTCTTTTGTTTGTCTGCAGACAGATTCCAGAATAAACAACTTTTTCTCTCTGAATTTTAGGGGCACTGCTTCACGGTCTTCTAGAATCCAGAACTGCTCTGAGAAACCCAACATTTTCACTTCCAGTCCTTTCTATATGTCCTGTCTTTTCTCTCTGGGAGCTTTCAGAATCTTTTTTAACCATGATATACTAATACTAAAATTTCATGCATGGGTCTTTTATCCCTGCAGCACCATCACTGCCGTTCTTTTAGCTAGTCTCCATACCCAATGTTATTTCCAGAGCCTTTTTACCATACCAGGCTCTTATTATCTCCATGCAAAATCCAGCATGGGAGACATCCTCTAAGGTGGCCACCATGATTCCTGCTTCTCGGTATACACCCTTTGCATAATCCTCTCCCTTTCAAGGTATTATCTCTGACTTTCTGCTCACCAACACAACATGGCAAAGGTGATAGGATGTTATGTGATGATACGATATAAGAATATAATGCCCTTCTATCAAGAAGACCCTCTCTCTTCTGTCTTTGAAGTAAGCTTCCATGAATGTGAACTATTATGAAAAAGGTGGCAAAGAAACGAAGGCAGCCTCTAGTCAACAACCAGCAAGAAGAGTCCAACAGCCCACAAGGAACTGAACCCCATTAACAATCACATGAGCTGGGAAGCAGATCCTTCCCCAGCTGAGCCTTACATGAGACCCAAGCCCTGACCAACACCTTAAACATAGCCTAGCAAAGGACTCAAGCCATGTCTGGACTCCTGTCCCACAGAAACCGTGAGATAATAAATGTGTATTAAGCCACTTTATTAATCTGTTATGCGGCAAAAGATAACTAATGCACCCAACTAGTATCTCAGCTTATATAATTCATTCATTAAAAAAAATATTTACTGTGCACCACCTACTATGTGCCAGGTCATACTACTATTCTAGGCACTGGTGATGCACTACAGAATGAGACAGAGGAAGTTCCTGCTTGCATGAGTCAATAAATAAAATAATTACCTAACACAGCATCAAGTAGTGATGGGGGTATTTGAGCAAGGACTGAATGGAGTGGGAAAATGTACCATGAAAAGATCATGGGAGAGAGTTAAGTAGAAGAAACAGAAAAAAAAAAAAGGAAGGAAGAAAAAGTAAGTCTAGATGCAGGAGTAGGCCAAGTCCATGGGACAGAGGAAGTCTGAAGAGAGGTTATGTAGGGTCTTTAGAAATCTGGGGGCGCTTGGGTGGCTCAGTAGTTAAGTGTCTGCCTTCGGCTCGGGTCATGTTCCCAGGGTCCTGGGATCGAGCCCCACATCGGGCTCCCCGTTCCGTGGGAAGCCTGCTTCTCCCTCTCCCACTCCCCCTGCTTGTGTTCCCTCTCTCATTGTATCTATCTCTGTCAAATGAATAAATAAAATCTTAAAAAAAAAAAAAAAAGAAATCTGTTCTAAGTGTGATAAAAGTCTTAAGTGTTTTGAGCAGGCAGACATGATTTGGTATTTTCTTTTTTTAAAGATTGATTTGTTTTAGATAGAGAATCTCAAGCAGACTCCCCGCTGAGCACGGAGCCTGACACGGGGCTCAATTTCATGACCCTGAGATCATGACCTGAGCTAAAACCAAGAGTGGGATACTTAACTGACTGAGCCACCCAGGCGCCCCATGATTTGCTATTTTCTAAAGAGCACTCTGGCTGCTGTGCAGAAAACAGAATGGGTTGGAGGGAGAGAAAAGAGGCAGAGAGACCAATTAGAACACTGCTTAAGGTGGAAGATGAAGATGGTCTGTCCTAGAAGAGTGGTGTTAGAGATGGTAAAAGGGGACATTATTAAGATAATATTTTGAAGGTACAGCAAACAGCATTTGCTCATAGCTCAAATGAGGACTTCAAAGAGAGAAATAAAAAATGACTTTTAGGTAGCAATTACATGAATGCTGGTGCCATTTACCTCAATAGGGAAAACTGGAGGTAAAAAGGACTTGGTGGGGGGAAAAAATCAAAAGCCCTATTTAGACATGTTGAATCTGATATGTTTATGAGACATTCAAATGGAGATGTCAAGTGGGCAACTGAATACAGAAGTCTAAAACTCAAAGGAGAAGTTCACTCTGGAGTTCAAAATGTGAGCATGAGCTTACAGTTTTACATGTGACAGCATGAGAGCCCACAGGGGAAAAATATGGATGTAGAAAAGGTCTAGGGACTGAGTCATGTGAAAACAGGAAAAGAAGCCAATGAAGAGACTAAGCAAAAAGAGCCAGTGAAGTAGGAGAAGCAGAAGAGTGTCGTGTTTCAGAAACCAATAAAGAAAAAGTTGTGAGTGGGAGGGAAAGAAAGCATCTCAAATGACGTTGAGAAGGCAAGTGAGATTAGGACTGAGAATGACCCCTCCATCCAGAAGGCAGTCGCCAGTGATCTTGACAAGTCAAATGGTAGGGAAGACAGACTAAGAGGAGGGGTGTCCAGAAAGAACGGGAGGAAAGTAACATAGAGATAAAAAAAAAAAAAATGGAGACTCCTATAAAAGGACTCAAAGAAACAGTACAGGAGACTGGGGGTGAGGGGATGTGAATGAAGTAGGGACCAGAATTCTTTTTCAACTTCTGTTTTAGGACAGGCAGTAGCATGATATGCTTATGTGCTGACAGAAATAGTCTAATAGAGAAGGAAAATGTAATCCTGGCGAGAGGGGTGGTAACTGTATGAACAAAGTTCTTGAGTAGACAAAAAGGAGTGGGATGTAGCACACATATGGAGCTTAGGTTTTATTCTTTTTTTAAGATTTTATTTACTTATTTGACAGAGAGAGACACAGCGAGGGGGAGTGGCACAGGGAGAAGCAGGCTTCCCGCTGAGCAGGGAACCCAACGTGGGGCTCAATTCCAGGGCCCTGGGATCATGACCTGAGCCGAAGGCAGGCGCTTAATGACTGAGCCACCCAGGCGCCCCTGAAACTTAGGTTTTAGATAAAAGAGACATGGCATCCATGGGAAAGGCAGAGCATGCATACGACTGACACTGACTGATTCATGTACATATGACTGACTGCTTACAGTGAACATGAATTAGAATTAGCTACTTAGGAGCTATTTTATCTGTATATAAAAAGCTAAATTCAAAATCCACTATTTCTTCCAAGATTAAAATCTTTAAGAAGGAAACACAAGGCTAATACAGCCTTTTAATTACTAAATCCACTGAAATATAAATCAGGAAGAGACAAGGTTTTGTAATTCTTCTCAAGGTAAAACCTACCTGGACTCTCCACTCTCTTATAGTGGTATGGGTTGATACAAACTTCTTTCTGCTTAGATCCAAAAGGAAATTCACAAATATCCAATGGCTTTAGCTCATGATGACTCTGCAAATCAGGCCAGCGCCAAACACGACAATATATAACATGGGGTAAGCCTTTTCTGTGGGAAACCTGCAGGCGTCCATCTAAAGATCTGGGAATAGTGACACATTTGCTCGGCTGTCCTGGACTGCTCAAGGCTTTCTCCAGTTCTTCCATGGCACCCTTTTTCTTTTTTAGCTTTTTCACCAAAGCATCGACTGCCTTTTCTGCCCATTTCTCCTCTTCATCACCTTGCTTCCAGCCCAACAATCGCTTTACTGCTGGACTAGTAAAGGAAAACAAGCTGGCCATTGACGTCATTTGATATAAATCTTCAGAGACCTTCCTGCAACTCAAAGTCAGTGGCTACTCAAAGAACAGCTCACAGATGAAAAGTCACATACAGGTTCTAAGCAGAAGTTCCAATTAAAAAGGGAGGAGTGACATTTATCTTCATAAGTGCCATAAGATTCTTTCATTGGTTCAAGTCCTGAAAGAGAAAGAGGGAAAAGGGTAAGACCCCTAACTTAAATGAATGCAATTAACATACATCTAAATCAATTTAATTGGAAAGTATGTTATTTTTCAATAAGAGCAGAAAAGCATTACAAAGTAAAAAAAAAACCCTAAGTCTAGAAGGAGAAATTTTCCCTAAAGTCCTGTGACCACTTACTTCCTTTCTTCCTAACATGAACAAGTAACTCACTGGCAATGGCAAATATCCACCAGAAGCAAAAACAGATTGCTCTACCTCCTCTCCTCTGTACTTTCCTAACAAATAAGCCTCTAGACTTTCATTTCCTTTCCCTAGGCCAATAAGCCCCCAAACGCCCTTCTAAGGTTTGATTCTGAAGTACTTCTCTTCACTGAAACCCATGTCACATGCCCTGTCAATTTTGAACACAGTATGTCCTCTAATGTCAACACAGTCTTCAGAAAAATCTAACTCTTTCCTAAGGTCATTATTCTCCATAAAGTGTTTCACAGACTTACAAGGTTTGGACAAAAGCTATAGTCCTATTTAAGTCACATTATTAGATGCAAATTTTATCAAATTTTGTATTAGGTTTTTCATAAGAGATAACAAATCCTCAGATAAATCATAACACACATAATTGCCAGAAAAATGGGAAGTATCTACTTTTAAAACCAAAAATGCTGAACAGATTTAAAGAGAATAAATTCAAAGTTTAACCCAGAAAAGGACAGTTTATAATTTTATAATTGCTATTGCCTTCTGTGGTATTTTAGGCATGTTAAGTTAAAGAACCTGCTCTAGGCAGACCACCCCACTGCACCCTTACGAAGCTCCTGGAGATGATGACAAGAGGAAGTGATGTGCAGAGGCGCTGCACTGATAAGAATGGGTACAATTCCCCGTGGTCACTACACAGCCAACTACAGACAATGAGCGGCTAGTGAAACAGCAGGAGTAATATTTGGAAAAAGGATGTCAGTAACAAATTGGAAGCCAAGAGGCTTCTTTTCTTGGGCCTAAAATTGCAAATAATGCTGCAGCTCTGCCTTTGACAATTTCTACCAAACTCTGGCATCAAGACCATTCTGGATTGGGATCCATCTTCCCAGAAAGGAATACTTGTGTTCAGTTAAAACCCAGATAAACATAAATTAAAATAAAACTGAGTTAAACTCAACAAATAAGAACTAATTGCTTTCTATGTGCCATACATTGTGAACTGCCCTGATGGTGCTTTAAAAAAAAAAAAAAAAAAAGTCACACCAAATTATGCTTCATCTTAAGAGCCAACTGATTCATTCATTCAACAGACACTTACTGAGACCTAGTAAATGCCAAGCATTGTTCTGGATGCTGATCAACCAGCTCTGGCTATCCAGACTGCTATGAACCATGGTTAGAACCTAGAACCAAGGGTGCAAAGGTGCACAGAAGTAAAGTAATACTCCTTCTGTGTGGATGGATTTCCAAGGCTACATGGGATGATTTTTGTCAGGTAGGCAAAACTGGCTACATTAAACTAAAGAAAATAAGGAAAGACTGAAAGTGTATTTGTCAGTAAGAGGTCACAGACTGTGAAGTGTTATGTGCTAAGAGAGCTGAGCTCAGCTGTAGCTACATCAAGGATATAGGATAAAAGCCATCTGGGCCAGAGAGTAAAGGTAACAAAGTAAACCAAAATATCATTGGGCTTGTCTAAGACAAGAGAAATTTCAAAGGCATAGGGACACAAACAACAACAACAAAATATGTGGGCAGACATGAATAGAGCATTTCCTAAAATAAAGAATAGATAGGTCTGGCTGAGATCTTACTCAGTAACACTGGAACATAATGGAGACAAGACGGGGTAGTGCATGTGTGTGGGAGAGAGAATATATGAACAATGGAGAGATTAAGTTGAGGAAAGGGACAAGAGTAGAGAAGCTTGAAGACCAAACACCAGATGGTGGTTAACCACTAGACGGTGCTTAATGTTAACTACTAATCTCACTATCATCATCGTCATCATCATCATCAAGTACTAACCATATTATATATTAACCAAAAAAAAAGGCGGGGGGAGTTACTTCTGCGTGTACAGAAAGAACAAGCACTAGAAAGCTACATACTAAATTCATCATGCAGTTTCCTTTGGGGAGAGGCATGGAATGGGGGAAAGGCGAGAGAAAGGGGTTCTGTGATTTGTTTTATATATTTCCGTATTATTTTAACCTTTTCACAAAGGGAATCTATTAATGCATTACTTGCATAATACTAAAATAAAAACAGTAAATAATCTAAAACAAATTGTTGTGAATAGAACGGAGTTACACGAGTGCCAGTACAATGAGGAGGTAAGACTAATGTATGCTATCTTAGAGGTCAGGATGGTAATTTCCCTTTGAAAGGAAGGGTATTAAACTCAGAAGGAAAACTGAGTTTCTGCCATCCTGGTAAAGTCCTGCTTCTCCTCTGGGTGATTATATGGGAGAACTCAGTTTGTGAAAATCCAGCTGGTAGGATACTTAAGATGTGTACACACTTCTGTATGATTTTAAAAAATTTTCTGGATATATAAAAAAGCATAGAGTGCTCAGTTCCCTTCCCATTTTTCTTCCCATCATCAATCAATGCCCCTTCTCACAGGTTATCCCTCTGTATTTGTCTTTCATGTCCCTACAGAGAAATTTAACACAAACACAATCAAATACAAATATATACATAAAACCTTTTTTTACATAATGGTATTCTAAAAAGAAAAAGGTACAGAAAAACATATGTACCATATATGCTCAAGATCTTCCCATTCCAATATAGAAAGTGCTTCCACATTCTTTTTTCTACTACACAGAATTCTAGTATAAAAGTAATCTTACAAGCATGTCAAACTATGTCATTCCTCTGCTCAAAAATTATTCAGTCGTTTCCCATTACACTCGTATCTAAATTCCTTAACATCACTTTATAGGGCCTACATGAGCTGGCCTTTGGCTTTCCATCAAAGTCATTTCTTACCATTCTCCTACCTAACTTTGCACTTAACCTCCTTTCCATTTCTCAAGTGCTCCAAGGTCATTTCTACCTTAAGGCCTTTGCACTTGATGTTTCCTCCCCTGCATTCTCCCTCATGTTATTTAACATGCTTACTCTTTCAATTAATTCAGCTGCTCAAATGTCACTTCTTGAAAAAGGACTTCCCTGGCCACTTTATCTAAAATAGCATACATCACACTCCCGCACCATTCTCTCCTCCCTGATCCTGCTCACTTTTCTTTCATGGTGTTTATCCTAACCTGATCAACATATCAATTTTATTTATTTATTATAGGTCTTCCTCACTGACATGTTAGTAGGCAGGTAGCTTCATCTTCTTTATCCATCATCAAATTCCCCTGGACTGAGAACAGTGCCTATTAAATGAGTGAGCAAGGAAGTAGTGAATGAGTGAACTAAAGAAAAGCAACTTGGAAAAATATACATTCCTTTATCAGAGCAACCTAGTATAAGAGTTAAAACAAAACACTGTATTTATGGATATGCACAGATATGTAAGAGAATAAAAGCATGGATAAAAAGGATACATACCAATCTCAGGACAATGAGTACTGGTTGCAACTGCTAAAAGGAAAGGAGGATGAAGAATGGAAAAGATTCAGCTATTTTAAAACCAGATTTTAAAATTGGCAAGTCATCAGATGTTATATTCTCTCTTCTTCTCTATGTTAGAATATTTCATAACTCAAAATATTCAAAATTTTTAATTTTTATTTTTTTTATTTTATTTTTTAAGATTTTTTTATTTATTTGAGAGAGAGAGAGAGAGCACAAGAGGGGGGAGCGGGACAGGGAGAAGCAGACTCCCTGCTGAGCAGGTAGCCCGATGCAGGACTTGATCCCGGGACTCCAGGATCATGACCTGAGCCGAAGGCAGTCACTTAACCAACTGAGCCACCCAGGCGCCCGATTCAAAATTTTTAATTTTTAAAAAGTAGTGTGATGAAAACAGAAAATGATCAGATTCTGTCCTTTACAAGATATAAAACCAAAACCAGGTACCACTCTTTCTAAGTCTACTAATTCTTCTGTAAAAAAAAAGGGGTGATGGTTCCTAAGTGACTAAAAAGTTGAAGTAATAAAATATGTAGGGGCACCTGGGTGGCTAAGTCAGTTAAACATCCAACTCTTGGTTTCAAAGCTCAGGTCATGATCTCAGGGTCATAAGATAGAGACCTGGGTCGGGCTCCACACTGAGCATGGAGCCTACTTAAGATTCTCTCTCCCTCTCCCTCTGCCCCATCCCATCTGCTCGCATGCACATCTTCTTTCTCACTCTAAAATAAATAAAATCTTTTAAAAAATAATAAAATATATGTGCACATGTGTCAACACACACATGATAGATGCTTTATAAACTAAAAAGTGCTATTCAAACATGAATTATGAGCATTAGTATTCAAAGGAAAAAGAATCAAGACTCAAAAAAATGGCTGGATCTGGAGCACCTGGGTGGGTTAAGCACCCAGCTCTTGATTTTGGCTCAGGTCCTGATCTCAGGGTTGTGGAATCAAGCCCTGCATCGGGCTCCACACTGGGCATGGAGCCTGCTTAACATTCTCGCTTTCTCTCCCACTCCCTTTCTTTAAAAAAAAAAAAAAGGCTGGATCTAGTACCAACCTAACATAACATAGCCACCACTATACCACTATACACACTTTCTGATCCAGCCCAAATTCCTGTACTTTTGCCCATCTGGGTCTTCCAGGAGAAATCTGAAGTCATTCTTAATGATAAGCTCAAGGCCACTCCCTCTGGTGAAGAATTCCTTCCCACCTGATTCTAAAGAGGCTATGGTCACTGAATATCATAAAAATTAATAAAACAGTGATAAGAACATATCTTAACTTTCCAAATGGAATACAAAATCTTTCCAGGAGGAAGTCTTCAGCACCTGGCACCATTCCATTCATCATACCACATATTAAAGGAGTATTTAATGAATGGTCATTGATTTTTCTATCAACTACACCTTG